CCCAAGAAAGATTGAGAGAGAAGTTTGACGACCTAAAGCAAAAGGATTGCAGGAGTCTGGAAGGGTACATCAACAAGTTCCGGAAGATTATGAGTGAAGTCAGAGACATCAGCAGCGTCGATCGAGTTATGAGTTTTACCAGAGGACTGGTTTAGAAGACGCGTCAAGAAGTAGTATATCGACGCTGTCAAACGACGACTGAAGCCATTGCCGTGGCGCTCGAGTTTGAGCGGTCCCACTCAATGCGCGAGCCATATAAGCCTCTGTTTAGAGGATCCGTTCAGTCGATGCATGCACGTCAACCGGAGAGTGACGACATGGAAATATGCAATGCCAAGCTGAGCAAAGAGGAGTGCTTTCGACGAAATCTGTGCTTTTACTGCCAAAAGCCAAGACACAGAATATCAAAATGCTACAAGAGAAATCAAAGACAGAGGCCAGCACGAGTGAATCATGCGGCAATGCGTCATGAAGACGATGATGAAGAGAAGGAGTTTGACATCATGAATGTCAAAATAATCAACGTAACGATTTCGGACAACTCCAGTGAACTGATTCGAAAGGATGCCTATATTGGAGGCAAACAAGTCAAAGTGTTGATCGACAGCGGTGACGACCACAACATCATTCGACCGCATTTGGGCCAGAAACTCTATCGGAGGAGGACAGTGCGTGCGATGAGATTCGATGGAAGCTCGACCACAAAGAAGAGCACAAATATCTTCAAATACAAGATCAAGATGGAAGGACAAGTCTACAAAGACGTGATATTGACAGAGTGGGAACTGCTAGAGCAACAAGACATTATTCTCGGAAAGCCTTGGCTCGTCCAGTACAATCCAAGAATTGATTGGAGGACTCATACGATTGAGTTACCGACTCCCTTAGCTCCTGTCGAGTCAGAAGAGTTTGAAGAACGCGTAAAGCAAGGTAACTATACCGAAGTCTACTCAACGAGCATCAAGAAGAACGAGACCGAGCGAGTGCCGACTCCAATCCACCAAGTGCTGGACGAGTTTCCCCAAGTCATTCCAGATCAATTGCCGGATGTCTTGCCGCCAGAGCGAGACATAGAACATGTGATCCTGCTAGAGCAGGACGCCAAGCCGTTCACCGGAGCGCCATTTCGCCTGTCCAAAGGAGCAAGAAGCTCTGGATAACTTTGTGGACGACTTGGTGAAGAAAGAATGGGTGGAGATTTCAAATTCACCCTGGATCTCCAACATTTTCGGCGTTCCAAAGAAAGATCCGACAACGGGCAAGATTCCGGCGAGGCTTGAATGGATCCGGTCTGCCGATCCAACGATGCCAATACGCTGAGTAATTGACTACCGACACGTCAACAGTCAAACCAAAGTCCCAAAGATTTCGCTTCCTCACATCGAAGAGCTCTTCAACAAGATGCAAAAATGCAAAGATCTTCTCCTTTATCGTCTTGGCATCCATGCGAATGAAAGAGAAGAGCAAGCAGTATACTGCGTTCAGGACGAATAGCGAAATCTATCAGTGGAAGGTTGCTCCCATGGGTCTCGCAGGAATGCCAGGCACA